ACATGTCTTATTATTTTTATCTTATTAATTCTTAATGACTTGTTTTTTAAATAGTTAATCTACATTTGTGTTATATAACACTTATTACAACAAATGTTTGACAATTTTATAGCCAATTGTATGGTATAACCTATACTTGAGCTATGAAAGGAACTTGATTTGTTGTTAACATAAGCTAGCATCATAAATTCCTAATAATATTTAAGAGTTTGATGTTATTTAAATAAGATAATTAATATGACCATATTAATAATTTATAATGAGCTATTAATGACAAATTATCCGATTAGAACCTTCTTTGTGTGTGGTTTTCAGTTGAGTAATAAAAAAAGTTTATACTATACTTGTTTGAAATACCATTAGTGGATCCTGGAGAAAACAACTTTTATAACTAAAGTAGAAACTTATTGCTATAAAGCCATGTCATTCAGATTGAAGAATGTAAGGGCAACATATCAATAAATGATCAACCAAATATTTAAAAATCAATTATGAAGAAGTATGGAGGAATATGTTGACGACATGTTAGTAAAGAGCATGACCTTTGAATAACATCTCCTAGACCTTGAAGAAGTTTTCTTTATTTTGAGTCAATACTATATAAAACTCAACCCTTTTAAATGTGTTTTTGCTATTAAAGAAAAGAAAGGAAATTTCTAGGTTTTTTTAAAAGCTTCAAGGGAATCAAGCCAAATCCATAAAAAACTCAAGCCATACTAAACATGATGCCCCCGTAGACTATGAAAGAAGTGCAACGCCTTATAAAGAGATTGATTGCCCTTAATAGATTCATTGCTTACTAGTAGGAGTGCACTCTTCCCTTTTTCAAGACATTGAGAAACATAATCAATTTCTAGTTTTTTTTTCCTATATAAAGAAAATAGTTTTTTTCTATTTAGTAATATTAAGGTTTTTTTTTTGTTTTTTTTCTATATAAAGGGTTGTGATAGCCTTTGGCAATTAGAGACATAAATGAATAAAATTAAGTATTTTAAAAGTCTATATATTTAAGATGTTTATGGTCTTTGAAGGTTTTGATATGTAACAAACCTATTTATTTTTCTCTTCCATCTACCTCAATTAGTATTAAAACCTAATGATATTAGGTTATTACAAAGGTTATTACTTGTTGTATGCTACAATCTGAGGTTCTTTCATTTGTTATATGCTACTGAATAACAATGGCTGGAAGACAATCTAACAATCCTTGGTGGTTATTTTGATTCATTGTATGCTACAAAACAACCATGTCTGGAAGAGAGCAACCTATATAAAAGGTGTTGTGTTAAGGATCTATGATGGAACGACTTATATAAATGTATTGTGTTAGAAATCCATAATGAGATGGTGCATATAAAAGTATAAGGGATCCAAAATGAGGATTCCCACATATAAAATGATGTTTTAGATGGATAACAATTTTTTAACTGAAGACTAAACCTAATAGCAAGTTCCATTCAAATCGAGGAAGACTAATGCTATGGGTTTTTTTTAAAATATTTTTCTATTATTTTTTTTATTATGATGCTTTTGTGGTTTTCTTTTTATTTAAAAAAGATGTTTTTCCTAGTTTTTTTTTCATATTCATTATTATTATAATTTTCTATTTTTTTTATATAAAGAGTTGTAATACTTTTTGATAAATGGAAACATGAATGAATAGATACAATATATTTTGAGAATCTTCTTATAATTATGATATTTTAGATCTTATATCACATACTCAATTAAATTTTATTTTCTAAAATGAGGTCTTTATTGGCTTAAGAGTCATTGTCGCACCTCACAGCAGAGCGGCGACCCTCGATTGACTTTGGGTTTTTTTTGTGAATAAAGGAATCATCACTTAGTATTTTAGTCACTAGAAACCCTAATTGTACAGCGGAGCGGCGACCCTCAATTGACTTTGGGTTTTTTTCTTGAATAAAAGAATCACCACTTAGTATTTTAGTCACTAGAAATCATAATTGGTCTTTTAGAGATTCTAAGGCAAGTGACTGATTGCGTAAAGGAAAGGTATTAGCACCCCTAGTACGCCCTACCTAAAGTAAGCTGCTTGATATTTAGTTTACTTTATAATTGCTATGGTGTTAGTGTTTTCAGTAAGCTGCTTGATATTTAGTTTCCTTTAGAATTGCTATGGTGTTAGTGTTTTCTAATCTCATCAGCTTTTCTAAATTTGATTCAAACTAAATTTATTATGATAGAAATCAAAGGAGATTTCATGTGTTTTAAAAGCTCATTTTTTCCTTAGTATTTTAAGAGTTTGCGACTCGTAATCGTAAGGAGAAGGGAAAAAAATTTAGAAATCTAAGGAGCTTTAAAAACCTAATTTTTGCCTTAGTGTTTTATACCCTCACGGCTCGTAAACCATGGAGTAAAAAGTTGAAATATTCTTGATTATAATCAAGACTTCTTTCAAGGATGTGTGGTAACTTATTATTTCTAGAAAAATATTTTGGATATTAACCACTTGGGTTTCTTTATCCAAACATTAACGGTGAATAATAGATGAATTCCCCCCAAAATAAGATTTTTATATTTTTTGGAATATTGGCCAACACCTTTTGGAGTTTTACAAACATGTTGTAAAATCTAAAATATAAGAAAATAATTTTTATGTGTTTAAGAAATCATGCTAAAACAAATTTTCTTTTAAACTTCAAATATTTGTTTTTTTATAAAAGAGAAAATTCAAAATATATTAGGTATTGGTCATATGCAACACATAAGAAAACATCTATATATATATATTGCGTTGAAAATCAGGTATTCTAAATTCAAGATTGATATTTTTTACAACATAAAAAAAAACCTTAAAATAAATATGCCAAAAAATCATAAATCTCTTTCTCTTTCTTTTATTTTTTTGAAAAAAAATAGTAGGTCTGGCTGGGTCACTTACCCAAGCAAGTAACCCAACTGGACATAAAGGGGTGCAGTCCTCTCAAAGAATGGCGAGTTGCTGTTCAAGTGAATTAATTCACTTGAACAATACAAACACAAGGTAAAACGCAAGCAAGAAGACCACATTGCTATTCAAGTAAATTAAAATTCACTTGAATAGTGCAAACATAAAGAAAAAAATAATGCATGCAAAGAGTAGAAGAAAGCAGACTTGGAGGCGGGAGAGAATAAGTTGCAGTGATGTTGAAAGCGTGTTCGTCTGTTTCGAGCCTTTTCCTCCTGTTTAGTATGTGCATTTGTTTTCTGGTTTTTTCTTTTCTCTGCATTTTTGTCACTTTCTCTCCCTGGTTCCTGCACTTTCTTTTTCCCTGTTCAGCAAATATGTAGAAAAATGAAAGCAAAGATTGAAAGAGAGTCCCTACTTGTTTGTGGTTTCTCTTTCTTTTCTCATTTTTCCTACTTTTTCTTCTCCTCTTTCTCTTCAACTACTTGCCTTCCTAAACTCACAACAATACAAGGATGAAGGAAAGAAACCCTTTATTATCTGTGTTTTTTCTCTCCTAACTACCTGCCTCTCTTATGTTTTTTTCTTTTCTTTTTTTTTTTCTATTTTTTCTCCGTTCTTTCTTTTTTCTCTTTTTTCATCTCTCAGCAGAAAAGGCTTATATAGCCTAACATGCAGCTCTATTTAGGAAACAAACATTACATTAATTCTTGGTTGTAATCTCGGGTGAGTAAAAAATAAAAAACCAAAATATTTAATTCTAATTATGTGATCAGTAGTGATTTCTTTTCAAGTTAGAGGATGGTGCGACTCCTTTTTGTCCTCCTATAACTGGGACCATAAGGACCAATTATTTCCTTTGAAATGAGGCAAAAAAAAACATGGTTTGCCAGATAAAAGGAAAGAAGATAATCGGGGTAGCTGTGCAGAGAAAAAGGAAAGAATTACAGGGAGGCATTGTTTTCCTTTTTTGATCTAATTCCCATTCTTCAATTTCTTCATCTGGTAAAATTTCTTCTAATTTTATTTTCAATCAACTCCCTTATTTTAGCATCTTTTTCATTTGGTCGTTGGTCCAAAAAAGGGCTTCAAATTGGCCTGCAATTGGTCTTCAATCTTTAAACATCTTGCAATTGTGTCCCTGCCAACACGGGTTAAAAAAAAAATCATTCTTGTGGTAGGAATCCCTGTTTTCATACTAGATATTCAAATGAGAATATCTTGAGCTTCTAATATCAAAATCAAGTGATTTAAAAGCCCAAATTTATCTATGTATCCAAGACTACAACTTTGATGAAGGAGTCAAAGTGAGATATAATCGTTTTAGAGAACATAATCTGGCAGTAATCTGGTTGATCAAAAAGGGTTTCCCGATCTAATTCAGAAACTGACAATGTCGAGCATCCTGATACTAATAAGAGCATGAACTAAGAGCACCGATAATAAAATTTATGATGAAAATAGAGTTTTTAGTGCAAAACTCGAGTCAAGATCCTTCTCGTGACAGAAATCTCTACTTTCACATTAGATTCAAATGAGAATATCTTGAGCTTCTGATATCGAAATCAAAGAATTCAAAATCCCAAATTTATCTACTTGTCTAGGACTACAACTTTGATGAAGGAGTCAAAGTCAGATAAAATTGTTTTAGATAACAGAATCTAACATTAATCTAGTTGGTCAAAAAGGTTCTTGATCTAACATTGTCAAGCATCTAAATCTAATTGAGAGTTTTCCCTAAGAACAGTGATCCCTAAGACCCAATAACGGTGTAGGTCAATTTTTCAATATGTCATGAGTGACAGAATATAGATAGGATGAATAGATATCTTACGAAACTAAGTTAGAATCAGATGAACTAAGAGCACCGATAATAAAATTTATGATGAAAATAGAGTTTTTAGTGCAAAACTCGAGTCAAGATCCTTCTCGTGACAGAAATCTCTACTTTCACATTAGATTCAAATGAGAATATCTTGAGCTTCTGATATCGAAATCAAAGAATTCAAAATCCCAAATTTATCTACTTGTCTAGGACTACAACTTTGATGAAGGAGTCAAAGTCAGATAAAATTGTTTTAGATAACAGAATCTAACATTAATCTAGTTGGTCAAAAAGGTTCTTGATCTAACATTGTCAAGCATCTAAATCTAATTGAGAGTTTTCCCTAAGAACAGTGATCCCTAAGACCCAATAACGGTGTAGGTCAATTTTTCAATATGTCATGAGTGACAGAATATAGATAGGATGAATAGATATCTTACGAAACTAAGTTAGAATCAGAGCTTAATTTGAAATAAAAATTTGCGATAGCAGTAGAATCAATTTTTTTAGTGTAAATTATGAGGGATTTATCCAACCTTAAAGACCAGATAAAAAAGAAATGAATTTAGTATTATAAAGACTCTTGATCAATTTAAGAAAACCTGACGATTTGATAACAAAAAAAAAAAAGGATAAAGAGAGTATAAAACAGCTATACCAAGGTTTCAAAAAAATATTTATTTTTCTATCTTCGTCGATCATTCATAAAATATCAGCTAAACTATTATACTCAATTTCAAATAAATAAACATCGTCTCCAACACGTGGATTCTAAAAATAAATAACAACAGTCACAATGGTCGCTCGTTTCTCACCTCTATCCTGATCTTGTGCATGGTGGACATCGGGATTCCCTGCCACGCAAGCCAACAAATCTAGCACCATTCAAGCCATTTGGTTCTCACTATAATTTGGAAAGCATAAAAGCTGCACAAAATTTGAGAAATAGTATTTCGAAGATAACAATTTAATAGTTTCTGGACTTTTATTTGCCCGTTCAAAAGCTTTATCAAATATTGCCATAGCAATTCCATAAAAAGAAGAAGAAGAAGCTATAGCTAGCATACGGTTGGAAACATTTGAAGTGTATTAAAGTAAAATGAAATATTGTTAGTGTATCACTAAAAAAGAATTAATAAGTAGACTCGTAGATATACTATGTCTCTCTATTTCTTTAGTGGAGTTAAATCTTATCTTTTAGGATACAACAATCAATTATCCGGAAAACATTAGATTAAGTATAATAAGAAACTGTACATTAGAAAATAATTGTAACAAGAAGAGTAGCTAAGGAACACTTGGTGGAGTTTATTGTGGTTAAAATACTATTCATCTAAAATTTAATTTTTTTATTTAAAATTAATATTTTAGTATTTTTTATCATTTTAATATGTTGATATCAAAACTATTTTTTTAATATATATTATTTTTATGTATTTCATAATAAAAATATTTATAAAAAAATCACTACCACAATACCAAACATTACTTAAAACATTTTGAAGCTAGTTTTATATATAAAACAATATCTTTTTAATTTAAAATATAATAAAATATCATTTACACCAATTAGTTTATAACTTATCATCATGCCAAGCTGACAAAAAAAAATTAAAGATGGGAAATCACTAATTCCCTTCTCGATAATCCATCGGAACAATATTTTTTTGTATTAAATTTAGTTTTATTTTAAATTTTATTTTTTAAATTTTATCTTTTTAAAATTGAATTTATTAAGGATTGAGATTTATAATTTATTTTTATTTATATTATATGAGGTTACTTCAATCTCCTAATATAAATAGTGAGTTTTGTGACTTAACCTAGCTGAATTAGGTTTTTATATCATTTTTTGTAATTGATTTTTTTTTTAATTTTATCATTCAATATTTGGTTTGAGTAAGACTTATACTTTATAATTTATTTTGATTTTTTTATATGAGGTTATTGTAGTATTATGACCTAAGTTAAGGGTTTAGTGGATTAATTCAGGTTAACTCGGGTTTTTCATGGATCCTTTTTTTTATAAATTTTATTTTTCAATTTCATCCTTCAACATTCAATTGATTGAAAATAAGGCTTCATAATTTATTTTGACATGGTTTTTATTAAGTTATCTCGATTTTATGATTCAGATTAGACAAGTTAATTAGTTATTTTTGTTTTTTTTTTATAATTTAGATTTGACAAATTAATTGGATTTTTTTTTTTTATTTTTTATGATTCAGATTTAACAACTTAATTGATTTTTAATTTCATTCTTCAACAATTGATTGATTGAAAATTAACTTTTAATATTTTTTAAATTTGTTTTTTATTATTTTGTTGTGATTACAATCAAGATTCTATATATTAGTCTAGATTGATATGAGGCTATCTAATATTTTATTATCTTTTATATATATATATGTATGGGCGCCCGCAATCCTAGTATATTTTTATTAACATGTTGAAAAACAAAAAAAGGATCCGTCCCGTGAATAAATTATCTATTAACTTCCTATGAGTGCAAATACTTTCGTAAAAGAATTTACATCATTAAATTTTATTAAAAATTATAAATTTATTTCAAATTAAAAGATTGCTAAAACAGGACAGCCTACCAGTCTCCAACCTAGGTGTGGCAGTGGCCTATAAAAGAGCAACATAACCTCTTTTATCTAATTATTATACTTGTGAGTAGAGCGTGTGTGGAAAGAGATGGGAAGGAGTCCATGTTGCTCCAAGGAAGGACTCAACAGGGGAGCCTGGACTGCCTTAGAAGACAAAATACTGATGGCTTATATTAAAGCCCATGGGGAAGGCAACTGGAGAAACCTCCCCGAGAGAGCAGGTACTCGTAGAAACATTTAGCTTTTGCATATGTACGAGTGGAGTTCATTGATGCTCATTTAATGGAAACATGATTTAAATAAAGCACTTAATTTTATATAAGATTTCATGTTGAATGAAATGGATATTGTGAATGCATGTAGGTTTGAAGAGGTGTGGTAAGAGCTGTAGACTCAGATGGTTAAATTATCTTAGACCAGACATCAAGAGAGGCAACATTTCCCATGATGAAGAAGAACTCATTATCAAGCTCCATAACCTTCTTGGTAACAGGTTATCTCTCTCCCCCTCTCTCTTTTGTGCTTTACGCAGTTTACCTGTCCTTTTATGAGCAGTACTAGTAATTATTACTAGCATTCTTGAATATGTAGATGGTCTCTAATAGCTGGAAGGCTACCTGGGCGAACAGGCAATGAAATCAAGAATTATTGGAACACAAATCTGGGGAAAAAGGCAAAAGGCCAATCATCTTCACAATCCAAACAAAGCTCTCAAAGCAAATCTAGAGCAATTAAACCCTTGACCAGCACCCAACCATCAAAGTCAACACAGACAACCCAAGTCATCCGCACAAAGGCCACTGTGTGCACCAAGGTTTTGCTCTCATTACAGTCACCACCACCAACACGGACAGCACTTCCAAATCCCTTCTCCATAATTTACTAGAATAATATTTTTTTAATATTAAATTTAGTTTTATTATTAATTTTATTTTTTAACATTAAATTTATTATAAATTAAAATTCATAAATTTTTTTAGTTTATATTATATGAGATTATTTCAATCTCATAAATTAAATAGTGAATTTTATGATTTAACCCAATTAACTTTAAAATTTTTTATCCTTTTTTATAATTGATTTTATTTTCATTTCATCATTTAATATTTGATTTGACTATAAATTAAACTTTATAGTTTGTTTAATTTTTTTTTATACGAGGTTATCATAGTATTATAATATAAGTTAAGGGTTAGGCGGATTAATTTAGGTTAACTCGGGTTTTTTATGAATCCTTTTTTTAATAGATTTTGTTTTTCAATTTCATCCTTCAATATTCAATTAATTAAAAATTAAGCTTCATAATTTATTTTGATATGTTTTTTATTAGGTTATCTCGGTTTTATGATTCAAATTTGACAAGTTAATTGGGGTTTTTTTATTCTTTTTTAATTTATTTTTTCAATTTTATTCTTCAACAATTGGTTAATTGAGAATTAACCTTCAATATTTTTTTGATTTGCTTTCTGTAATTTTGTTGCGGTCTCATGACCTAGATCGAGATTTTACATGTTAATTTAGATTGACCTGGGTCTATCAAATATATATATCTTCTTGAGATTTTTTAGTCAAACTATGTTTTTTATCAAATTATTTATATTATTTTTGAACTCTTCTTGAGATTTTTTAGTCAAATTATGTTTTTTATCTCATTATTTATATTATTTTTGGACTTATCAAATTGATTGAAGCATAACAACTCAATCTTTATATATTTTTTTTTTATTGGAAACATGTTAGCATTGCATTATTTTTTTATTAACATTTTGAAAGAAAAAAAATCGATCCATGCCGTGAATAAATTATGTAGTAACTTCCTATGAGTGCAAATACTTTCGTAAAAGAATTTACATCATTAAATTTTATTAAAAATTATAAATTTATTTCAAATTAAAGGACCGCTAAAACATGTCAACCTGTCAGTCTCCAACCTAGGTGTGGCCTTGGCCTATAAAAGAGCCACGTAACCTCATTTATCTAATTATTATACTTGTGAGTGTAGTGTGCGTGGAAAGAGATGGGAAGGAGTCCATGCGGCTCCAAGGAAG